ACGGAAATCGCTTGACACAAGGTTTGACTTTGACGTGCGCGTATATCAGGTGCATGCTGCCTAGAGGCACCACGGATGTTCCACTGTAAATTGGGTTATGAGGAGAGAAAAAAAGAGGAAAAAGCAACGAGGCAATTGTATAAATATAACCAAAGCACTGCCTAACCTGTCAGGGTTAGGTAGACAATGTGAATCAAGATAAAATTCATACTTGTTGGGGATGTTAGATCCCCGAAATTCGCTTGGTAAATGCCTTATTTTGGTTTTCACGTTCGCCAGCATGGGCTGATCAGTTCACCTTGAGATTTCAATTCCCACCAGGAAAATCCATGGCTATTATTGGTTGATGTGTATTTTAGTGTGCTATTTTCTTAACTGTATCAAGGACGTTTCTTTGATGTATAAATAAACGAGAGTTGTATGCTTGATTGTACTATGATTGCTGGGAGTTTGTAGAATATATTTTCTACGCTTACCAAGATTCTGTTTTACCGTTTGGATTCAAGGTAGCCTACGTGGACTCTGGTAAAAGTCTCGTTCGCGTTTATCGACTAAGGTAAACTCGTAATAGCCTCAAGCATACTTAGTGACGAACTCAATAGGTTTGAATTCAAAAATAACTGTTCAGGAACTTTAGATAGGCGTCTTGACCAGTTTAAATCCAAAACAAGTGGTCTGGATAAGCAACGGTTGTATTATGAATCATAAGTATAAATACACATCATTAACTAAACAATATTACCACTGTTATTCCTTTAATAATAACAAAGTGTTTCCAGTTCCATAGAAGTGCTCCAATTTCCAATCCAAATTTAACTTTTCCAGTCCATGTAATTGCAACAACCGCTAGAGCAAGAAAATCGATATAGCTGTGGCTATAATTAAGTATCAACTTAAACAACATAATGCTGCCTGGAAAGAAACATAGAAACTCAGTATAGGCACAAAAATAGGAACTAAAATATATTACAAATATTATAATCCGAAGGTGGAATTGAACAAATTAATAAAATTTAGAAATGAATGAGTCAATATAGACATATTGAAAATGCACACATGGAAGGATTTTCTTGAACAAAGCCTTCCAAAGTGGATCCTACAATAGGCAGGATAGATTAAGTTAGTAATCTCAGGAAATGGCAATAGTATCAACTGTCAGGTTGCAAGACATGCATCAGACACATTGTCCAGGAGTGAGATGATAGTCCGTATCTGGGCACGTGATTATCAAGTCTCTTCTCGAAGCTTTCCACTGAGGGGGCTTTCGTCACCTTCGCTGGGAGAGTATTCCAAGTTGTTATGACTCTTCATGAGGAAAGGTGTGCACGAACTCGAGTGTCCACTGTTTGATGCGCAAACTTTCGTGGATTGTCGCAAATGGAATGATGGTGATGCATCGGTTAGGTGCTCAGGTCGGTATGGTCTGGCGTACGTAATGTGTTGTATGCCATAGTCAGATAAACTCTGATTCTCCTGTAGCCAAGGCGAAGTAATGCCAAGTGCTGGAGTCTATCTTCATTAGTTTTATTTTTCAACCCTTG